GGGGTGCTCCCGTAATCAAAGTCTTTCAAACATCTTCTAATAAGCTGTGACAGTTCTTGTCTACTCATGACTTCTATAACATCATGGGTGATACCCTGACATAATAGTTTACGGTCCAGTAATCTGTCCCAATCACTTGTGTGGTGGTCCAGCTTAACTAGTCCAAGGAGGTTTAGATCTGGGTTTGATCTTAAGAGTCCTAATTTTCAAATTGAATGCTCTTCCCCAGGTCTTTGCTTCATAAGACATCTCCCCAACTTTGGCTCTCAGGGCTATTCCAGAATATTGTGTAGGAATTTTAATAGTCTGCCAATGTTGTCTGTTACTGCACTGATCCAGACCCCGGCAGCACATAGCATCTGCCCAGCAACTTTAGCGCTGAAAACTTTGACTGCTGCAGGAACATATTGGCCACCTGTGGAATAATAAAATCTTGAGATGGCCTTCCCAGTACTCATAGTGGCTCTAACAGCAGAGTTCAAGTGCACCTTTCAGGAAAGATTAGCTTGAAAGATGATTCCTAAGTATTTAAATGCTCTACTTTTTGCTCCATAGGTTGACCTGCAATTGACCACTTATACTTTTTTATCTTCTTTTTGCTTCACTCCTCTGTTCAGTGGAATATCCCTGGTCAGTTCACCAGCAGGGCCACATCTTGCCTGAGCAGTAAACTGAGCATATAATTGTTGAATTGGGAAGAGGACGTGCTTGTCCATAGACGATTTGTTTAGTTTATCTCATAGTTTTTGTCTAGGCAATGAGTCAAGGCTGCTCTGAGATCCATGAAGGCAACACCAACCATGCCATCTCTTGAGCTGGTGTACTTATCTGCAATAAACTGGAGAGTATGGCATTGGTCAATGGCACTGGCACCTCTACGGAATCCAGCTTGCTCTCGACCCAATATGGCTTCATCTTCTCTCCAAAGAAGTATTTTCTTATGAAGCAAAGAAGCGTATAGTTTGCCCATCACTGATAGTAAACTTATGGGCTGGTAATTGTTTGGGTCAGTTGGATCACCTTTTTTGTAAATAGGAACTATTATTGCATGGCGCCAAAAAGTAGCCATAATCCCTGTCTCATTGATTTGTGTGAATACTGGTGCCAATATCTCCACCCACCAATGTTTGCTTTGAACTGCTCTGCTGGTATCTGGTCAGATCCAGATGCCTTGCCAGATATCATTTGAGTTATTAAAGATTTAATCTCTGATGCTGTAACTAGGGGCCATTTCTCAACCATCGGAGTAGGAGCTGTTTAGGCAAAGATATCATCAAAACATGAAGTCGCAAATAAGGCCTTAAAATGTACCTCCCAATGATTGGCAGAAATGTAACAGTGGAGTGGAGATCTGGCATTTAGTTTGTTTGCAATCATATGCCAAAAGGTATCTGCTTGGAAACCCAGATTAGACATTTCCAGGAGGAAATTAAAGCAACTCTTTTTTTACGTTTGATGAGCATCCTGAATTCACGTTTCAACAAAAAAATCCATTTAAGTGTGCCCCTGTCATTGCATAGTTTGAATTGTTGGTGCATGTAGCGAATTGCCCTTTTAAGTGCCCTACAATTAGTATCAAACCAATTGTCTTGCCTGCCCCGGCCAAAGCCCCAGGGTGTTGGTGGTGGAGGAGGATACCATGCGAGATGCCCTCCAGAGGAGCATCCCACAAAGTATGCCACCTCTCCCTTCCCCAAGTGTGTGCCCACAGATACACACATGCATCATCCTACAGAAAGAAACAGATGACCACTCTTCCATGGTCCTTTAAGCCCTGTTCCAAGGGCCCCTGGGTAGTCTTCCAGGTCCTGTGGAGGGGGCATCTGGAGCACCAACAGGGTATGGCGCTCTCATGCTCCTTTGAGCCAATCAGTGCCAGCAGGGCTTAAAAGAGTGAAAGCAAACTATACATACTCCTGCTATTTCCTCATACATCCCTCCCTACAGCATCTGGTTGATATTGCATTTTGTAATTGTAAATCAGCCAGGGGTAGGCAGTGGGATGTGATTATCTTGTATAACAACCATGCACCATTGTCTCTAGGCACTTCTCCCACCAGAAAATGGGAAATTGCACCACAGACCCCTCAGACCTTTTGGAGAAATCTCTCCCATTCCTGATGGTTTGCAGACTGGCCACCCATTTCTGCTTAGCGATGGACTGTCTTCCTGGATGCAAATCTCATAAAGGTTCCAGCATGCTAACCCTTTGCACCGACTCTGTTTCTAGGAGTACTCTCTGTCAATGTCTCAGGTTGCCCAGCCAACCTGGGGCAACTCAGTTTGAGCTGGTATCCATGCACATTCCCTTGCAAATAAGCAACTTCATACGCAGTGATGCTTACATCAACTCTTAGCGATATTATGCGATCATAGAATGGGGGTATACAGTTTTGCGCAAGTTATATTGCATCACATTTCTGTCTTAACTTGGAACCAGCACAAATATTTATAGCAAAACAAGAGAAGGGAAGGACCTTGGGCACTGTGTCAACAAAAATCATTGCCACAATTCTGTCAACGGTGTACTTGGGAGCAGGCCTAATTGAATCAGTAGGATTTAATGCTATGTAAATATACAAAGAATCAAGCTCCAAGGTTAATATCCTGTCTGTTGAGCATATTTATGAATACAGGACTCTAACCAGGAGTTTGATTCCTCACTCCTCCACAGGAAGCCTGCTGGGTGGCTGTGGGTCAGTCACAGTTCTCTTAGCCCCATCTACCTCACAAGGTGACTGTTGTGGAGAGAGGAAGGGATTGTAAGCTGCTTTGAGACTCCTTAAAGTAGAGAAAAGCAGGGTATAAGAACCAACCTTTCTTCTTCGCCGTCTATAATATTACACAGAATCACATTGTTAATACTAGTTTCATTTGAGACGACCCTCTGGTAAAATAAGAATAATCATCTAATTTGTGCCAATGTTCTGGATGGGGCAGAGTATTGGGCACTGTTAGATTTCTGAAAACATACTCATCCAGACTCCAGACCCATCCTCTGAACTTTAATCAAAGTGCCTCAGTCACACATCCCTTGCTGGAGAGTAAGAATCAGAGACAGCTTTCCACCGCAAACAAACTGTTGGAGAGTAAAGAATATCCTATGAACGACAGCCTCAGAAGCCCTAGTAAGTTCAATGCAGGTCCTCACAAATAAGTCTCACAGGATTGCCCTGCAACTGTGATTTCAGCAAGCCCCACTGAACACAGTGGGATCAGCTTCAGACTAAGGCTAATTCTGCACTGGCTTTCCCCTCTGTTGTTTTATGAAACCCGCATTGGAACACGCTGCTTTCACTTCCTTTGAGCACTGGATTTTATTGTCGCCTCCACACTCTAAGCCACTTTCGCTTTGTTTGATCATCGGATCTTATGGTACCTTCTGCATAGATTTATGGTCATTCAGGGGTGACTTTGTAGTCAGTATGGCATTGTCCTGAGGTATTTGGATGTGGTTTTGAGCTGCACTTTTTCCTCCCAGTTGAGAAAATGTGGAGTGAATGCTAGATGCAGAATCGCCCTATGAATGTTTGGATTCAGCTACACATTCCAATCAAAGAGCCACGCCCACAAGTGCAGAGATGACAGCAACTTTCCCATGCCTGTGCAGAGCATGCCCCACCCTTGGAGATGGTGGGCTGTATCACAGGCAAAGTGCTGAGTACTACACAGGTCAAGGATAGGGCAGTCCTTTTGCTTTTGGTGTTTTTTTTAAAAATGGCAGTACTCATGTATAAGGTTGCACAGATTTCCACCAATTCCCCCCCCCCATGACTTAGGACTTGGTCAGTACTATCACCTCCTCCCCCAAAACAGAAGTCTTAAGTTGAGTGATACATTATTACTGCTATTGATTTTATATATTAGCACCAGCTTGCTCAGTGCTTAAGCTTACATTCCAAAATTTGTCACAGAGGGGAAACTAAAGGAGAAAAAGAAGAGAAGAGATTGAGTTTATACCCCGCCCTTCACTACTCAAGGGAGTCTCAGAGCGGCTTACAAACTCCTTTCCCTTCCCCTCCCCACAACAGACACCCTGTGAGGTGTGTGGGGCTGAAAGAGCTCTGACAGAAACTGCTCTTTTTCAAGGACAGCTCTGACAGAACTATGGCTTGCCCAAGGTCACCCAGCAGGTGCAAGTGGAGGAGTGGGGAATCAATCCCGGTTCTCCCAGATTACAGTACGTGCACTTAACCACTATACCAAACTGGCTAGGTTATGTTTTCCATTTATACACACCCAGGTTTACTAGCTGTTTAGTTGCTATAGGAAACCCCAAACCAACACCTAATCCTGGGGCAGGAAGCGGCTTCCTGCACTTTGTTCTTTAATGTTCAGGTGTCAAACAGACCTCCCTTGTCCCCTCTCCATGTACCTTGGGCTGTTAGGTGCCCTGCACAGGGAAACAGCTCCCTAACAATCAAAGCCACAATCTCACCACCACCGCCATCACCAGCACACTCCTAAACAGGTCACCATGCTAGGAGGGCACACTCACCTGGAAGCAAGCCCTACTGAATTCAGCAGGTTTTACTTCTGAGTAGACCAGCTTAGACCAGACAAGCCGCTGAAGCGCTTCTTTTTGGGAAAAACAACAACACAACACACAATTAGGGTTACCAACCTCCAGGTGGTGGCTGGATATCTCCTAGGATTACAACTGATCTCCACGTGACGGAGATCAGTTCACCTGGAGAACTCTGGCATTATGCCCCACTGAAGCCCCTCCCTCCCCAGGCTCCACCGCCAAAATCTCCAGCTATTTCCCAACCTGGAGGTGGCAACCCTTCACACGATCCTCAGTGAAGAGCTTGCTCTAACGTCCCTTCTCCGAGAGACGCGCCCTCTTCCATATACACCCTCTATACAACTAAGAGGTACAGAAAAAGTCTTCCCCCAATTCTATATATTAATTTCCTTTAATTCCAACGGAGAGAGGCAAGAGCGCGACCGGACGCCCGCACGGACTTCGGCCAACTCCGCCGCCGCTGGAAGCTCACCTGATCCAGCGGGATGCCCAGCCCCTGGCTGAGCGGGTGCAGGAGAGTGGAGCCCGTGGTCCTGCCGGGCATGCTGGCCGCGCCTGCCATCCCGCATCCCGGCTGGACCGAGTCTCGGCGGCGAAGGCGCCCGACCCCACCCATGCCCGGGCACGTGCGACGCGGGCCAATGCGGCGGCCCCCGAAAGGAGGCTCTGCCTCTCGGCCGGGCGTGGATTGGCTGCCGGTGCCTCGCTTCCTCATTCGCAGCGAGAAACCAGCAGCTTGTCCCCGCAAGGGAGGGGGGGGCGGGGGCGGCTGGCTGGCTGGCTGGCGTGCGGAGGCGTGACGCGAGGTCGTGGTCGGAACCACCAGGCAGGCGCCGGACGACGGGGAAGCGTGCGTTAGAGTTGGCCCAGCTCCTGGGGCCACGCCCGGGCACAGGGGTCGTTGCCAGCCGCAGAAATCTATCCGGGTGGTAGGCCAGGGCGACGAGGGATGCCCGCAAGCCAGGGCTTCTCTCCCCAAACGTTGCCCACCTCGTGGCTCCCGAGGGTCTGGCACTCTGCAGGTGCTCGAAGACGGCCTCTTACCGCCCCCCGCCCCCCATTTGGCTCGCACGGCAGCCCGGGAGGAGACCTTGGTGAGAGGCTCCGGAGTGAAAGGTGCCTTTCTTTCTTTCAGCTTTAGCAGGTGAAATACAACCCACCCACCCCCGAGCATATTCAGAGCGCTTTCCCGTCCCCTCCGCGCTAAGCAGCCGCTGCCACCCGTTTGCTGCGCTCCAGTGCAGAGGTGGGGCCGCCTGTGGTTCAGCGCCGTCGGTTTTTGAAATGGGAAACGCTGAATGGTGGAGCTGGCAAGCGCGCACCGGCCGCCTCCTCCCAAAGGGCAGCGGCGTTGCTTGACGTCATCTTCTGCAAGAAACACTTTCCCCCTCAGAGTGAACCGATGTTGCCGAAATATCCAAGGGCGATTTCTCACTAGAGCTGCCTCGAATTTGCCCCAACACAAACATGTCAATTTCACACCCGAGGCTGCATTTGACTCGGGGCTTCGCCGGATTTCCTCCGCAGTTTCGTGATCCTGGTTTTTGAGGATCATTAAACTGTGCAGGAAATCGGGCGAAGCCCCGAGTCAAATGCAGCCTCGGGTGTGAAATTGACATGTTTGTGTTGGGGCAAATTCGAGGCAGCTCTAGTGAGAAATTTTTGCAGCGGGCTTTCCAACCGCTTCCTTCTCCAAAGTGACGGCGAGCCTGTAACAAAGAAAGTAATCCTCAGCAAAAAAAGAAAAAAGTGAGAACTGCTTATTCGCACAGCATTTGCTTTAGAACCATCCTGTGGGACAAACGGAAGTTTTGGGTTGGCTTCTGCCAGCTCAGTTTAAACTGGTGGTTCTCAAAAGAGTACAGCTGGCTCCCCTAAATTGGGTCATCTCTTTTTTTTTTTGGGGGGGGGAAGCCAAAAGGTGGGTGAGAAGGATCTAGGAAGCTCACTGCCAAAGTTGGGTTTTTCTCTACAAAATGGCTCTGAAATGGCCCGTTGCTCAATTTTGCTGTAAATTTCTAAGTCCTGCAAGTGAGAAAAGAACAAAGATACAGACTTGTTGAGAGTGAATCAGTTATGGGTTTCAGGTTTGGGAGGGGAAAGGTAGCATGGAATAACTTTACAAGCTAGTTCTCAGAGGCAGAATAAGTTTAAGTGGGGCCTTAAACTTCGGGAACTGCTGGCCTAACCCCAGAATGGCAGGCTTTTAAAATACTGTGTGGGTGAAGGGAATCACTCTTCCAGTTTTCTTTCAGTCTTCTGGGAATGTGACCTCTGGCTAAACACCCACAGGCTCTGACTGTGCCAGTGATGTTAGTTAAATATTACAATATTAATTAAATGTCACAAATTCTATTTTGTTAAGTTCTGATGCAAAAAAAAGTAATTTAGAAATACATTTGGCAGAACAAATGTTGCAATGACTTACAAAATACAGGGGTTTCTTTCATGCCACACAAAATACATATTTAGGATTGACAACTCGAGGTTGGAAAATTCTTGGAAATTTGGGGGCAGCGCCTGGGAGGGTGGGGTTTGGGGCTGGGAAGGACCTCGGTGGGTATAATGCCAGAGTCCATCCTCCAAAGCAGCCACTTTCTCCCAGGGAACTGATCTTTGTAATCTGGGGATCAGTTACAATTCCAGAAGATCTCCAGGCTCCAACTGGATGTTGGTAACCCAGTGTTCTTTTTCAGTGTCCTCAAAGTTTAAACTTGTTCATTGGGTAACATGGGAGATGCTCAGTTCACTTTCAATTGATAGTCCTTTTTCTAACAAGAAAATAAATGGAATCCAATTCCTTCACAATTTTGTATCAAGGTGTTATGTAATATATGCAATGACTTTTTTCAAGAGAGGTCTTCTGGTTTGTTTTGCCTGGTATCTTCAGTTTGGTGTAGTGTAGTAATAATTAAAAATATGTAAGAGAATATAAAATGATTATACTGGCATCTGCTTCTTTCCTAGTTGCACTGGTCACACCAGTTTGGTGTAGTGGGTAGGAATGCGGACTGTAATCTGGGAGAACCAGGTTTGATTTCCCACTCCTCCACATGCAGTTGTTGGTGTGATCTTGGGTCAGTCACAGTTCTCCTGGAGCTGTTCTCTCATGAGCAGTTCTCGAAAGAGCTCTCTCAGCTCCACCTACCTCACAGGGTGTCTGTTCTGGGAAGGGAACGGGAAAGGAGATTGTAAACTGCTCTGAGACTCCTTTGGGCAGTGAAGGGCAGGGTATAAATCCATTAACTTCTTCTCTGTCTATGAAGTACAATGGATGTGCCTTATTTCACAATTCTGCACCTTCATTAAGAACATATGAAGCCAACACCTGAGTCACAACAATGCCATGCTAGACGAGGTATGTCTGCTCTGATGGGCAGAGGTCTTCTCTTTCCTGCTACCTGAGCTTCTTTAAAGGAAGATGCCAGGAATAGCCTGTGGCCTCTTGAGTTGCATGGTATGTGTGTGCGCTGAACAGTGGGGACAAGGAAGAACTGCATGGCCCAGCCTTTCGCCCATTGACTTTGCCATGGAATGCTGCCTTAGATTTTACCGTTTTAGGCATCACTTAATGTTTCAACAATTAAGAGTGGTGAGCACAGAACTGAATGTTTTTGCAGGTATATTAATAGCCTGATTAATCTATATGCGTGGTGGCCTAGACGTCAGTACCAATGAATTCAGCTGGATGTGCTGCCATGTAAATGTGCCTACTGAAGGAGACTTGTAGGTATGTGAATTCACACAAGACCCTGAACATGTGGAAGGAAGATGCATAAGTCATCATGCGTTCTCTGTTGTCATATTATTTATTTATTTATTTATTTAATTGGATTTTTGCCCCACCCTCCCGCCGAGGTGGCTCAGGACGGCTTACAACAATTTAAAGCAACATACAATTTAAAACCAGCAAATACAAAATATAAAATGCAATAAATACAGTAAAACTAAGTAAATCCTGTGGTAAAATGCTAGTGTGACCCAGCCGGTGCAGTCAGTTCTTATTTGAACGCTTGGTGAAACAGCTCAGTTTTCACCGCTCTACAGAACTGCTGGAGGTCCCGTAGAGCTCTAATTTCATTAGGGAGCTCGTGCCACAGCGTTGGTGCCACCAGGGAGTACGCCCTGGTCCTGGTTATCATCAACCTGGCCTCCCTAGGCCCAGGGGGGGCCAGGTGGTGTTGTGATCCAGACCGCAGTGCTCTTGGGGGAATGTACGGGGAGAGGCGGTCCCTCAGGTAGGCAGGCCCCTGACCATTTAGGGCTTTAAAGGTCAAAACCAGCACCTTGAAGCGAATCTGGAACGCTACTGGAAGCCAGTGCAATGACTTCAGCACAGGCTGGATGTGCTCCCACCTGGGGAGACCCATCAATAACCTGGCTGCCGCATTTTGCACCAGCTGCAGCTTCCAAAGTTGCCCCAAGGGCAGCCCCATGTAGAGAGCATTACAATAGTCTAGCCTCAAGGTGACCATAGCGTGGATCACTGAAGCCAGATCATTGCGTTCGAAGAAGGGGACCAACTGCCTAATCAGCCGAAGATGGTAAAAGGCTACAATTTTATTTATAAGGTTTGCCTATTGCATTCCCCCCCCCATGCCTAGTGGAGAATAAGCAAAATGACCAAACTCATTTGTAGTGAGTTCTTCATAATGCATTTTGAAAACACAAGTAAGAAAAAGTAATGTTGGGAGCAGTCATCTGTTGTTCTGCGTCAGGGGATGGTGACTTTTTTAGGAATAGCAGGCTGCCCATCCAAAGTGATGAATGCAAAAGCTCTGTACATCACTTTGCAGTTCACATCACAGGATATGTCACTTCTGGTTCAGCTTTCTGAACTTCCTGTGGTGGCTGAGGAAAAGAGGTGGTGGAAGTCCCTATGCCCACAGGTTTGATCTGCCCTCCTTGCAAAGATTGGTGGCTTCTGCCCCCTCCTCACAATAAGGATGGTCCAGATGTGAGCACCACAGCCGTCTCCTTACACATTGCTGAAGAAACAGCAGGCTGCTGGGCCTGCTGGCATCTCTTAAGAAGGCTGCAGCCAATCCTCAGGCCATAGCTTGCCAGCCCTCGCTGTACAGAAATGAGAGAATCACTACTGGAATCTGCTGGTTAATCTTACATTGTAGGAATTCACAGATTTCTGAAATGCCCGGCTTCTAAACTGGGAAGCATTAAAGAGAGGGTAACTGACCACTTTTACAAGAAGTTCTTTATCTGCAACCGGCAGAACAAAATGCTTTGCGAAACATAATGCTCCCTCCCACATTAATAAAAATTACAAAGGAATTACACATGAACAACATTCCACACAGTCAACTTACAGAATTAAAAAGATAGGCAACGGCAAAAAACTTTCCTCCATCATGTATTATATAACCAGGGGTCATTTCTTAGAAAAAGAGGTGCAGGACCTCATTAGCATAACTCATTAGCATAACCAGAGGTCATTTCGGGGGGATCGCAGTTCCCCCGGGTGAAGTACGGGGGGCGGGGCACATGACAAAGCCCCACCACCTGCTTCTGGCCACCCTGCTTCCGGCCCTCATTCAGCCAGGAGGAGGCAGGAGAAGAGGGA